CAGGTCGGTGCTTCAATCTATTAATCCAGCAGAGCCACACAAAGAGTGCCCCAACCCAAAGCCAGGTACCTGATCTAGCCCTGCTCAGGGCCCCAGTCCAGTGAGGGTGGTCCAGCCATGCCCCGATTGCTCCGTCTGAGGGACACATGGTCTATTCCTGCAGGCCCCGATAGTCCTGCAGAGGGAGCCCCCTTAGTGTGGAGGTGGTTGTAAGAGGGGTGGGGTGAGGGGGGTGGGGAGAATAAGAAGATTGGGTGCTCGGATCCTTGTGTTCCTTTAGAAGCCTTGGCCTTGGAGGCCTGGGGGGAGGACACAGCCTGCCCTGGGAGCTCTCAGCCTTCTCACAGTTGCCTCCCCATCTCCCTCAGATGAGGCCCCACTACAGAAGGTCTCCTTAGCCCGGAACTCTCGCTACTACCTGAGTTGCCCCATGGAGTCCCGCCATGCCACCTACTGGTGGCGCCACGGGGAGAAAGTGGAGCAGAGCTGTGAGCCTGGCCACCAGAGTCCCAACTGCATCCTGTTCATCGAGAACCTCACGGACGGCCACTATGGCCACTACTACTGCGAGGCCCAGGAGGGCTCCTACCTCCACAAGGCTCAGCACTGGCAGCTGCTGTCTGAGGACGAGGCCAAAGCCGAGCACCTGCTGGGCTGTGCCCATGCCCTTTTGGCCTCCCTCTGGCTGGGGGTCCTGCCAACACTTGCTCTTGGCCTGCTGGTTCATTAGGGCCTCCTGGGGCTGGGCATGTTGTGGGCTTCTGCAGCCCCAGGGCTCCAGAAAAGTCTCACACCCAGAGCCACCCGGCTGGGAGCTCCTTGCCCACCACTGCTTCCAGGCGGACTGCATAGCTCGACAGGACACCAGCCTGGAACTGGCCAGCCACGGGCAGCTGCTGGGCCTGGGTGGGGCAGGGGCAGTGGGGCTGGAGAGTGAGGGCACCAACTACAAAGCTGGGGCATTGACTGCCCAAGACTTTATCTTCTGGAGATTATTTTTCAAAAATTCTTCCTCAAACTTGACCAAATTCAGTGATGCTCCTGGCCCAAGAGCCCGTGGGCCTGAGGGGTTGGGAAAGGGGAGCTGGGATCCTGTTTCTGAACCTTTGGGCTCTTTATACTCAAATTGGCCCCTCATCCTCCGTCATGCCCTCCTGCCACTGTGAGGGTGGGGGTGGCTGGGGTTCCTGCAAGCCCAGGGCTGCCCTCTGTGGCCCCTCACCAGCCCTGGGTCCCACTAAGGCAGCCTCCTTGCATGTTTATTGAAGGATGTTTGCTTTCCGAACGGAAGGACGGAAAGAGCTCTATTTTTATGTTAGGCTTATTTCATTTACTGCTACTTCCGACTGCATCTGTATGAAAATACCAAAACTACATGCTGGGGGTGGGATGGGGAAGGGAGGGGCTGGGAAGGAGTGGGCTATGGGGGATCGAAGTCTGGGGCTCTTGGGCATGGGATAAGAGTCCAGGGACATGGTGGCATGGATCCAAGTAGATGGCATGAGCTGGCTCTGCCCTGGGAGCCCTGGCTGAGGGGTACATTGTCCAAGCTCCCCTGTTGGTTATGGGAGGGGGTGGGATGTGAGGGGTCAGGGGAAAATGAAGGAGAAAACAGACCTAGGTTCATACATTCATAAGGAGCCGGGTCCTCATGGGGAGGTTCCAGGACTCTGCCCTTGGCATTGGGGGTTGGGGGATGCTGCCCCCTCCCCTCAATCCTCTTCCCCAGGGGCTGTGCTTCCATGCTCCTAGCCTCCCACCTTCAGCTCAGGACATGTTATAACTAAGGCTAAACTGTGAATTCCTGTGGGGACAGCCTGGGCCAAGCTCTCCAGGTGGGTGGCTCTGCCCCAACCCTGTCCACGGATTTCAGCAGAGAGCCGGGCCTTCTCTGGTGTGTCTGGCCAGCCCAGGGCAGGGCCTAGGGCTTACGACCTTCCAGCTTTGGCTCCTGCATCTCTTTTCAATGCACTTTAATGATGTAACATATTACTAATAAACAAGCTATTTATTTACCTGTGCCTGCTCCTTCCCTTCAAAGCCAGTCTGGTCAATGGGTGAGGGTGAGGGTTCTTGTTTGTGACTCCACCTCCTTCCTGTATGAGCATCACACGTCCTCTCATTGTCCCTTTAGGGCCTGGGAGGGGAGGACACCCTTAGCAGGGTGCCTAGCTAGTGAAAGGCAGGAACAGGATCTGAACCCAATGCTCCTGAGCAGTGCACTGCCTGCCAAGCCTTTGAACCTGGAGCCCAGACAGCTCCTGCACCCCACCTCCTCTCCTCACCTTTCCTCCTTCCCAGCCTCCTCCTCCCACTTCCCTGGGAGGACTGGCCATGCTGGAACGGCCTCAGGCCTCCTTGCCTTCTAGGTGCGTGGCCATTCTAGGGAGTAAGCTAAACAAGAGCCCGTGGGATAAACCTGTGAAGACAGAAGTGTGTGTACAGTAGGCTAGAGGGCAGCTGGAGGAGGTGCCTAAGCGGGGGTGAGATACTTGCTATAGGCGTGGCCCACCAGGAAGGGGAGATGTTGCTCTACTTGCAGAGGGGATAGAAGGGACCGTGGGAAGGGTTTGTGTGCTAGCCTGGAGCTTGACCTTTCAACCCCAGGGCAGTGACAGGACTGGGGTGGGATTTGTGACAGACAAGCTCTTGGATTCCCTCAAAAATAAAGCAAATAGATTTTAGAACCCACAGGATGTGTGAAAAGGTGGGAGGGGGGGCATAGGGGCTCTCCAGGAGTATGAGTGGGCTAGTCCAGGGATGAAGGGTAGGAACCTGGATGTCCTCCAGGGGCCTACCTCCATTTTCTCTCTCCTCCCCTTCGATCCCTTCTCCCCTGCCCCTTGCTACAGAGACCCATGCCTTTTGGGGTTTGCTGGGAGGTTTTCCTGAGCAGTAGCTGCTGGAGAGGGGTTGTGGCAGTGGGACTTGGGAAAGCTCTCTCTCTGAGTATAAGCCCACCTTCTGGGTGGCTCTGACAGACCCCACAGGACTGGAATCGCCCCCACCCACCACACTCTCCTTCAGTCTGCTCAGTGACCTCCTGGGCCAGCACCACACTGAAGATTTGGCCTGGTTATTTCCTCTCCCACACCCAGCCTTTCTAGGGTGACCACAGTGGCAGCAGGTGCTAGCGCCAGGAGTCCAGGAGTTGGGGGGACTGGATGAGCACTGGGCTGGGGGCAGAGACTCAGGGATGCCGTCACGTTTCATGATCCTGGGTGGACCTTACCTTTCCTATGCCTCACTCTCATGTGTAAGAGGTAGGGGCTGAACCAGGGCTTCTGGGGGGCCCCTTCTGACACACTGGTCTGGGTTATAAGACCAATTCACTTTATCTTGGAAGGAGCTCAGAGTCTGTGTCTTGGCTCCACTTGCCAGTCCCCCCAGCTCATAGCCAAGCAGCAGTGAGAGCAGAGGGCTTCCCAGGGTCTCCCCACTCCCCCAGGTGATCCCTCAAGAGAAAAGGCAAGAGTATATTTCAGGAGCAGCTAGTGAAGAAAGTGGGCTCGCCCAGCCGCCGCGGTTCACTGGTTGAGCGTCGACCCAAGAGATCTCGGGTTCAATTCACGGTCAGGGCACATGCCCAGGTTTGGGGCCCAATCCCCAGTGGGGGTCATGTGGGAGGCAGCCAATCAATGTTCTCTCTCATAGATGTTTCTATCTCTCTCCCTTCCTCTCTCAAATCAATAAAGAAAAAAAAAAAGGTGTGGGCTCAAGCCCTGAATCCCTGTGTTGCTTGGTGACCTCCTATGAGGTCTCTGACTTCGCTGGATCTCAACAGGCCCCCTCTTTCCTGCGGGAATGCTCTTGGTGCCCCATGGGCCTATGGCAGGGAACTTGAGGGATGAAACACACCCTTTTTGTTAGTACAGAGGTTCCAGGTGAGACCAGGCTGGCGGCTGGGTGGAAAGCCTTGTGTATGGAAGCATGAAATGCGTCCTTGTGAAGCCATGTGAATGAGCCCGCGCAATGGCCAAGCACAAACCTCCCTCCCTCTGGCTTTCCCCTGACAAGCAGTGCAGTGGACCTGGGGTAACGGGTGCCAGGCCATTGGGCTGGGATTGAGGACATGGAGATCCGCTCAATATGGCACCAATGTTGGCCTCTTGGCAGCTGGGCTAGGGCCAGAGCACAGGCCAAGCCTTCTGCCCTCTGTCTTGTGCATCCTCTCCTGCCAGGGGAGAAGTGGGTGTGCAAAGAGGGAGCAAGACTGTGAAAAACCAAAGCGCAGCTCTCTGGGGAAGCCAGCAGGGAATGGGAAACTAGTGTATGTCTCCCTCACTTCATAAATCTAAAGGGCCACTAAGGTTTACCTCAGGTAGGTCCACGTCTTGGGGGAAGGCCCCTGCCTTCTCTCTCCCTGCTGTTGAAACCCTTTAATAGCTCCTTTTATGTGCAGACCTGATGTCCTGACCCAGCACTCAGCCCTGTGCACCACCTGTCATATCCATACTGCCTCCCCTCAGGCCTCCACCTACCTTTGCTGGAAACACTCTGTGCCATTGCTCCTGTGAGGCTTTCCCTGGGATGCCAGGAGTAGGATGATCCCAGAACAACCTTGAATTCTTCAGAGGAGTCCTGGATATCCCCACCCACCCCCTATGCCTCTCCTGCTCAGTCCTGAGCTGGGGGTGGGGGATGGAGCTTTGTGGCCGATGCATTTAGAAACAGGTCCTGGGATGCTGGTGAGGGAAGGCACAGCCCCTTCCCTCAAGACCCTCACAGCTTGGTAGGGGAGGCAGATGTGGGTCTGCATAGAGATAATCTCTTTGATGATCCTATGTGGTAGGGTACCCAACCCAGGGAGTGATCAAGGAAAGCTTTGGTGAGCCTTAGAGACTGAGTGCCCCAGGTGGAGAAGTCACTGAAGAACAGTAGAGGGAACAGCATTTGCCGAGGCCTGGGGCTGTACAAGGGCCTGGCGGGTTATGGGCTTGGCTGGAGCGATGTGAGCTCCAAGAAGGCAGAGAGACTCCTCAGCTTCAGGGACAGCAGCGAGTCTATCACTGAGAACAAGGCTTGTATAGCCCACTCCTTCATTCTTTTAAAACTGTTTCTGTTAAACGTGTTTTTGTAAAAGCTGAAATAAATAGCATATTTGTGTAAGAGTTCCAGGAACTAACTTCAAAGGAAGCTGACTCCGGTAACTGGATGTTCTGGCTCCAGGAAACTTGCTGACATCATCCATAAAAGCTAGACCTCTGCTTGACCAGTCTCAAGGTAACCATTGGAATGTACTGTGCTGACTTACATGTAGAGAACTGTCAACTCCCCTCCCCCTGATTTTTTGTTCTGCTTTTCCTCTCCCTCCTAGTAAAACCCCTGCTGCACTGAGATGTGAAGATGGTCTACAGGACAGGCGTCCGCCATCTGCTCAGGCTGCCAGCACTCGAATAAACTGTCTTCTTGTCCATCAGCACATATGTCTCAAGTACTAGCTTTTGAAGTAACAGGTAGTCGAACCTGAGTTACCTGGGATACATTCTTGTTGAATGAATGAATAAGATGAAAGAGAGAGAGAGAATCTGGAAATGAGATTGAATGGGAGCTAAGGCCCTGGATCTTTATCCTGATGGTTATAGGGAGCCATTAAAGAGTTTTGAGCAGGAGTGGGTGGATGATGATGAAAATGCTAATATGGATGATGGGGGCCTGAGATCCAGTTTTTCTCACACCTCATCCCTGCCTGCCTCACTGCAAGCTCACCCTTCCCCCACCCCCAGGCTTTTCCGGCTGCCTACACAGCCCAATTTTAGCCTTATTGTCTGGAAAAGTAAATGAAGAAACTGGGCTGGGTCATCCCAGCAAGGGTTCCGGCCAGGAGGTCTGCAGATATGGGCTAGTGGAATGGGGCCGGAATGACTAATTTAGGCTTAGGAAACACTTTTTTGTTGGTTTTGGTTAGCATTGGGGAAAAAAGAGGCCTTGGGGAAAGAACAAAACCCACATTCCCAGGGTGAAGGAAGAACACAGGACCACACCCGGGAGAAACTTGCCCTGTTAGAGTGCTGGGTGACTTTCTGGAAGATGGTGCCCAAGCCAGAACTGATTAAAGCCCCGTAAGTCAGAGTGGCAATTTTTTCAGGGTGGGAAAAATGTATGGGTTTAGAAGGGCTTAGGTAGAAAACACATGCTTGGGCTTGGACCTTTAACACAGGGGCAAACACATGGCCTGCGACTTTATCCAGCTCCTAGACATGTCCATGCTCCTAGCAGACATCACTAATCAATCGTCCTTTCCGCTGAGCTCAGGTGAGCGATTCCTCTGAAACTGCCTTCTCTGAGGGCTACTGAGCCCTTGAAATGCAGCTTATCTTTGAGATGTGCTGCAAATATAAGACATATTGGAGATTTTGAAGATGTATTATGAAAAAAAAAAGAATTTTATTAATAAATGGTTATATTTATTACATGTAGAAATTAAAATGTTTTGGATATATTCGGTTAAGTAAACTATATTGTAAACGTTAACCTCATTTGTTTCTTTTTATTTCTATGTAATGTGGTTTCTAGAACATTTAAAATGATCTGTGTGGCTCACATATATTTCAACCAGCACTACTGTAGAAATCTGCCAATCAGGGCAGAAAATTTTGTCTTTTTTGTTTACTGTGAAATCTCCAGCATCTAAATAGTGCCCGGAAGATAACAGGTGCTTGGTAATTATTTGTGAAATGAATGAATGAATCCTCATAAACACTGCTTTTCAGGGAACCCCAACCAATTGGTCAGATGGACTGTACTTGCCACTTCACGCCTATGTAGTAGTTTCAGCATGGTGCTAAAACCCCCCTGTGTGCTTTCTGATTTTAGAGCTGGAATCACCCTCTGGGGACTCTCCTGATACCCTGGAGGGAGGAAGATTGGCGAATGCACTGCTCCCTGGAGGGTCCTCTAAAAGGGAACTTTCTTTTTCTTCTGATGAAGGAAGCAGGGCAGCATGCAAATTACATGAAAATGACCTCTCTTGTGTATTGGCATACCTGAGGGTGCTGGGTGCTGGGGGTGCTTCCTGTTCACACCCTAATCCTAGCCCCTTGTCCCTAGGGACAAAACAGGAAGCTCTGGACACCTTGAGCTCAAGGGGAAGGCAAGGCCACCTTAGTCTTTCCCCAGTGAGCAAGGGCTGTAGCCCAGAGCATCCTTGTCTTTCCCATCCAGCAGGAGTCTAAAAATAGTCTTGCAGTTCCGCCTCCCCCATAGCTGTCCTTGCTGAGCTGGGCTCTGTGCCTGCCGGCTCCTCTGCAGCCCAGACTATCTGCATGGTCCTGCTTCAAGACCCCTGACATCTCACCCTCTGGCCCATCCTGGCCCCTGGGGACCCTGAATTCAGCGATCCTATTGTAAAGCCTGCCTTAGGGTCTGCCTATTGCCCTGCCCTCCCAAGCAGACTGGGCTCTGACCCCCTGGACCTCCAAATCCTATGCACTGTCCACTCTCCTGTTCTTGAGGGGATGTTAGCCAAACACAGAGGCAAAGTGAGGGAGTTCCAGGCAGTGGAACTGAGACAGGCCAGTAAGCCAGGACACGTGGAATGGGGAAACTGAGACAGACAGCTGAACAAACTGACAGCGCAATTTACAGCAGATACAGACGGTCACCTCTCTAGACAGAACATCTAGGCCTCCTCAGTTGTATTTCAGCTCCAGGCCAGAAAAGCAGCAAAACCAGGTGGGCGAAGCCAGTACCAGCTGCAATGACTAACGACCCCCTGTCCTGGCTACAACCAGTCAGTGGAGACCGTGACCCTCAAAGGACCCACCTGGAAAGCTGACGGACATCTATGGAGATCCTCTCCGGGACCTCCCCTAAAAACACCCTTACAAGCTTTTAGGCTCTGGCTAGTGTGACTCAGTTGTACATCAAAATGTGGCGGGTTCATACCCAAGTTGTGGATTTGATTCCCATTTGGGGCAAGTGTGGGTGGCAACCAATCTATTTTTCTCATATTGGTCTCTCTCTTTAAAAATCAGTAAAAGTTTAAGAAAAGAAAAAAGCTTTTAGGATGGGGACCCAGAGTGCTCTCCTTCTGGGCGCACTCTTGCACCTTCTCCCTCTTCTTCTCGCCCCACGGGTTGCATCTCCTAAATTATTTTACTTTTGTTGTTGTTGTTAATCCTCACCCTGGGATATTTTTCCATTTATTTATTTTTTTAAGAGAGAGTAGGGGCGGGGGAGACATTATGAGAGAGACACATCAATTGGTTGCCTCCCACACCACCCCGACTGGGGATTGAACCTGCAACCCAGATACACACCCTAACTGGAATTGAATCTGAGACCCTTCAGTCCATGGTCCGATGGTATAACCGCTGAGTTACACTGGCCAGGGCCTACATCTCCGAAATTCTAAGGGTCCCAATGAGACTTGCAACCAGGGGAACAGTGGGCAGCGGCAACTCATCCCAGGCTAAACCCCTAAACCTGTCCCCAAGGCCCCCTTTTCTTTGACTTCCCAGTGAGCTAAAGGAGCCCAGCCTAGGCTCTCCTGTTGCTGCTTTTATGCTAAGCTCTTCTGTATTTCACTGTCCCCAGCTTCAATACATATACCCTCCAAGTCACCTGGACTTGTATTGTGAAATCTTTCCTACACGAAGTCAAGAACCCACACACTACTGCCTGGCCCTAGACAGACTGGCTCAGGCCAGGTCCCTTGTTTGGTAACAAAACCAAGTTGTGTGAAAGACCATGGCAGGTGGTGAGCACTTTGGAAGGGCTGGTTGAACAAGATGAAGTGGTGGAACCAGGCACAGGCTGGAAGGCAGTAGGGCAGGCCTGCCGGCTCTCATTCCCATGCACGGGTCCTCCAGGCATCTCTGTTCGGCCTCACGGGAAGGCAGCTGCCACTCTTAGATCTGACTGCCCCCTCCCAATGATCGGGCCCTGGTTTTTTCGTCCATGCCGCCTATAGAACAAGGGGGAACTCTCAGTACTAGTGCTCCCCATTTTGGGCCTTCCACATCTCTGATTTGTAGGAAGTTCTGGTACCTTCCAGATCTGAGCTTTGGGACTTCCTGTCTGCTCATCAGGGCTATGGATGGGCAGGTAGGTCTACCCACTGAAGCCCAGAGGGAGAAGGCCTTCAAGGCAAAGCTGGGACCAGAACCTCCAAATCCTGATGCCCAGCTGGGACCCAGCCCCTCATGCTGAGGTTGAGCCATCACTGTTAGGAGCACATCCTGGTCTGAGTGAAGAATGGAGCTTGGGGGCCCACTCTGTGGAGGGCCTTCCTGACGGCAAGAATGAATGTACAGGTCACACTGCTAACCCATGACGGTTTCCCCACCCTGAGCTGAGCGGGGTCCCAGTTGCAGGAAGTGGGAGCATCAGAAATCACACTTTCCTCTTCTGGGGAGTGACTTTGGAGGAAATGCTGAGTTCATGGGGTGGTTCTTTCCACAGCTGGTGCTGGAAATTCTATTACCAAAGCCCCTTCTTGCCCCAGCATCTCCCATAGGCTGGACACAGCCCTTAGAGGCAGAGTGCCAGTGTGGGGTTATTATTCATCCCCTAGTAGACAGACGGGATGAGGCCAGAGGGAGGAAACTTCTTGCCCAGAGCTCCCTGGCCCATCAGAACCTGGCTCAGAACCCAGGACTCTTGCCTCTTCCTGCCCCCACAGAGCACCCTCCCCCAAGGAAGTAGGAGTGGCTGTGAGCTAGATGCTTCTTGGCTGAGATGTAGGTGTTGGGGAGGTTTTCAGACACCTGAGGTTTTCTCACCCACAATGCCCCTCATTTCTCAGCACATGGGAGCCCTCCTCAGTGTGAATATTGGCCACTGTGAAGAGTCAGACAGTATTAGGACATTTGGTTCTCGCTCTGAGGCATGAGAAGTGCTCCCTCCCCTAGCCACCTCAAAGCTCAGAGACACCTGGAGCTCTCTGTACCCTGGATAACGTCCTTGGGACCTTAGAGCCATTTCTGAGCATGAGGAAACTACAGCCCTTGAAGGAAGCCCGGATTGGCCCTGTGAGTGGGGCGGTGTGGGCTGTGACACCCTAGCCCTGATACATTCCTTCTGCTGCCTGCTTGCCTCCTCTGGAGACCACCTCAGTCATGGGTGAAACACAGCTGTAATAAGAGGAGAGCCTACAGCAGGGAAGATGGGATTGTGGGGTTCTCCATCTCCATGCCTTTCTGTGTCTCAGTCTCATTCCTTCTCTGTTGTCCTTTTGGTCTCTCCATGTCCCTCCCGATTCTCTCTATGACTTGTTCTCTTGTATTCACTCACATGGCACAAGCATGTATACAATAACATGCAGGCACAGGGGACCACACACATGACCTGTGCACACACATACACATATGCAGGCATGCACATCTGTGCACATATGCACGCTCCCATGGAGTTTTCCCTCCTCGGGTCCTGTCCATTTACTCTGAGAAGGGAGGCCATGAAACTCTCTTTTTCTGTGTCCACAGGCTCAGGGAAAACCCACAGCTGATGTCCAGGCTGTCACTGCCTCCCTGGCACTGGCAACTGGGAACTTGAAGACCTAGGCTGGGACCCCCCCACACACACTGGGATCTGAGGAATCTAGTGGGGTCACTGGGCCAACATGACCTGCAGAGAGAGAGAGAGAGAGCCGTGCAGGTGAGCAGAGAGTGGAACATCAAGATGCCATGTGGAGTTAATGATGAACTGGCCAAGGTCTCCAGCCTTTGCCCCATTTGATGCCCCTTCCTGTGGTCCTGGAGGCTGGGGACAGGGAAGGACTAGACCACAGAAGACCTAGGGTGAGGTGGCTGCAGGGAGGAAGCCTGACTACCGCATACCCCACCCACAAAGAGCTGGAGGCTAGATGTCCCTGGGGAAGGTCATGGTGAAGAGGCCTCTGTTCCTGTTCTAGGACAATGAGCCGGATGAGGCCGAGCCGGATGAGGCCCCGCCAGGTACTTAAATTTCCTGGGCCTGTTGGGGCTTTCCTGGAATGTTTAACCTTCCTGGTCTCCCAATGTCAACATCATGGAGGGGGGGAGAGGGGCAGGCAGGAAGTCCCTGTAGTCCTCACCCAGGACCTACCCTGCCCTGGCTTCTGGGTTCGGGTGGTCCCCAGAGCCTGCCTCCATCCACCACCCTCAGCACGTGGGCCTGTCTCTGTCCAGACCAGTCTACTTCTGAGCACCTATCTATTAAGTGTAGGCTCTGTATGTAGGAGGCTTGCAAGGGGCAGGAGGAGCCAGGGCTGGGCTCCTGGGAAGGGGCACCTCTCACTGCTGAGGCAGAAGTCAAAGCCCCTCCAGGGACTGGGGCTAACCCAGCAGGAGCCCAATGGTTACTATCTCCACCCTCTTTGCCAGACACTCACTAACCAGGCTGGTTCAGCTCCAACGGGCAAGACCATAAGGACAATATCACAAATGATAGTGGCGCCTGTACAACGTATATCCTGTGCATGTCAGTGAAATAGACAACGATGGGTCTGGCCGCCTGTCACTACTTCAGCCAATTAAGCAGAGACAAGATTGAATCGTATATGAACATTTATTCCAATATTGCCAGATTTGTGGGAGATCAGGGGTCATCCCTAAAAAATCTGCTCTTAACTCCCATGATAGTTTATATTGGGTAGCTATGTGGGGAAGGACAGGTAGGCAAAAAAGGAGTAACAGTGGGTAGAATGGTTACAGATTACAGGCCTGGAGAAGTAAAGCAGGTTGGGGGCCACAAAGGGTTGTCTCCAGTATACTGACTCCAGGGCTCCAAGGTTGTTGGTCTTCCCATGATGTTGAACAGTTTTCCCTTGTTCCCAGGTAAGGAGAATGGACAGCATTCCTGAGGTAAACTCCCAGGGCGTACAGCTCCCAGCCAGGTCGGAATGGGGTTTCTCTCTTTTTTAAAAATATGTTTTTATTGATTTTTTAGAGAGAGGAAGAAAGAGAGAGAGAGAGAGAGAAACATCCATGTGAGAGAGAAACTTTGATCAGCTGCCTCCTGCACACCCCCACTGGGGATCGAGCCTGCAGCCTGGGCATGTGCCCTTCCAGGAATTGAACCAGGACCTCTCGGTCCATGGGATGACGCTCAATCCACTGAGCCACACTGGCAGGGCGAGAATGGGCTTTCCTTAATCAGAACAAAGCAATCACCATTAACAGAGCAAGGGTGTTTAACATTTTCTATAACTTTGGCTGGTGCCTCACTATGATTAGTTCTCTATTATTCTATTATTCTCTCCCACCCCTTTCCTTGGGATTATTCTTGAAGTTTTACATTAATGTCTTTAGTTAATTTTCTCACCAGCCCTACGAAGTTGATACCATTATTGTTTCCATTTTATACTTAAAGGAACTGAGGTGCAGAGAATATAATCAGTTTCCCAAAATTTCACAACAAAAAGATTCTTCTGAGCTTTGTCCTCAAGAAACTGGGACCTGGGACTGTTGATCTAATCACACTCACTCATCCTGCAGATGTTTAAGCTCCTCTTCTTTGCTGGGCTCGTGGTTGGCACAGGGGATATACAGAGCAGAGGTGAACAGATCGCGGGTTGCTCTGATGCTCAGACCTCTGAGAAAGGTGATGGGAGCACCAATTCCAAGAGGCTCAGATGGGAGAGGACCACCTGCCACTCTGTCTGTCCTCTTAGTGACCAGAGGCAGGCTGGGTGGTGGCCCAGCCTCTCTGCTCCGGCTAGGGTGTGCCACTGGGGCACTGGGGAGGGGGCAGCCTTCTCCTTTCACTGGCTCCCTCCAGAATAATCTCAGGGAGCAACTGCTTTGGGGGCTGTAGGGAGCCCACATCCTGCTCCATCACTGGAAAGTGAGCATCCAAGGGCAGGGATTCCCATGGGGACTGAATCAGGCTGACTCAGTGGAAACCTCTGCCTGATGCTATCTCAAAGCTAGATACCACAGTCAGACCAAAGGAAGAACTTCCCAATTGCCGGTCCATATATTGTTGGAGTGCTTGCAAATGAGGGGGCTTTGGGAGAGTTCCCCAGTGCCCAGGCTCTGTCAGACTTATTCTGCCCTGTGAGACACTGCTGATGGAGGGGCTGTAGGAGGGGCAGGACCAGGGCCAGAACTGAGACCAGGGCCACACCTCAGTTTTACTTGTGGAGGCCCCTGCCCTGAAGTGGAGGGTACAAAGAGAGGGTTTCATCCCACTACAAGGACCAAGGGTTTCCTGGGGCCCTTCCCTTCCCACCTGCTCCTCACAGGCCACTCTCAAGCAGTGTTGGAGTGGGAGGTGGGGTCTCCCCAGGACAAAGAATGGCTCCTTGGGATGGTGTTTTCAGAGAGACAGAAATAGACAAGCAAACCAATGAGACAAACATGTTTGACCTTCCAGCTCTTCTCTAGAGGGAGGTAGTTTGCTTTTCTTTATTTTATTTTTTTTATTGAGAGAAAAAAATTTCACCATTTTAAAATATAGTATCCGGTGGTTTCTGGTGTTTGCCCATTCACCATTATCTAATTACAGAGCATCTCATCGCCCAAGGAAACTTCACACCTGTCTTGGGCTACTCCCCCCCCCTCTGCCCCACTAATTTACTCTGTCTCCATGGATCTGCCCATTCCAGACATTTAATATGAGTGGAATCATACACTATGGGGCCTCTGTATCTGGTTTTCTTTCACTTGCCATAATGTTTTTAAGTTTCACCCATGTTGTAGCATCATGCATCAGTACTTCCTGGCTTTTTATTGCTGAATAATATTCCATTGTGCGGATATGCCATATTTTGTTTATCCAGTCACCGTCTGTGGACACTGGGGTTGTGTTCAGTTTGGCTGTTATGAGTAATGCTGTATGAACACTGGTGTACATGTTTTTGTGTGGACATATGTTTTCAATTCTTTTTGGGTCTATCTACTTAGGAGTAAAATTGTGGAATAATATGGTAATTTTATGTTTAACTCTTGGGGAATTACCACACTATTTTCCACAGTGATCATACTATTTTACATTTCCACCAGAGTATGGTTCCAATTTCTCCACCTCCTCACCAACACTTGTTATTTTCTGTGCCTTTATTCTTTCAACACCTATTTTGTATAGTGCCTACTTGGTGTGAGGCCTGTGCCTGGGTGGGGTGCAAAGGGGCTGAGACCCAGGCTGCTCTGGCAGGGCCAGGGGACGGAGACAGGAAACAGTGGCAGCTGGTGATGCGTGAAGTGAAGGGTGGAGAATGGGCATCTGTGAGGGTGCAGGGCAGGCTTCAAAAGAGGCAGTGTTTGTGCTGTGGTCCCCGGCCCCTGCCTTAGCGGCTCTCGCACCACCCGCAGCCGTGGGAAGGGTGGTGATCTAGATGCCAAGTGTTGCCATCTGAAAAGTCCCATCCTCGCCTGAAAGCCGCCCATTAGAGCCTGTTTCTTTGGACTGAGTCCTCCTCTCCAGCTCACATACCAGTAGCCCAAACCAGATGAGGAAACTGAGGCTCAGAAGGGGAATGATTTGCCAAAGGTCACCCTAGAATACCAGAGTCCTTATCTCCAAAACCCAGCCTAGGGTACATTTAACTCTGACAGGGTGAGACCTGGGATAGAATGAGGCTGCGCGTAGGCAAGGGGAGGTGGCAGGAGGCTTAAAGGGTGGGCAGAGGCAGGGGTAGGCTCAGGCAGGAGGAAGCCAAGCTGCAAAGATCTTCCCAAGCTTGGGGGAGGGGGCTCTGTGCAAGGTATGTGGGGAGAAGGGGTGAACAATAGAGGTTTCTAGGGCCTGCTCTGACCTATTTCTCTTCTGTCCAGTTTCAGTTCTGCCTCACTGGCCCCCTGAGACCCCAGGGTTGGGGTGGGTTTGGTGTGTGTGTGGTGACTCTTAGTCAAACCCATCTGGATCCCTGGGGGGTAGAGGTGAGGTAAGCCCAACGCTAGTCACAAGCCCCCTTCCTCAGCCTGCCTTCCTGTCTGGACCGTTCCCGTCGTCTGAGGGAAGAGGCTGAAGGCCTGGCTGGGTTCCATCCTCACTCGGTGTGAGTGAGCTAGGACTGGGCCTGGCTGGCTGACAGCGTCCATGGCCTCGCCTGTCTTGGAGCTTGGAGCATCCAGTGGGTGGTCACTGGCCCCAAAAGTAGATTTGGGAAATGCTTAATCAATGAACTCATACTTCATAGGGCTAAGTTAAAATGTGCTCACCCATTTACTCTTGACTCATGGGTCCCCAGGGTAAGTCCTTGGCCATATCAGTTGCGTATGTGGGGAAGGGATGCGATGCAGCCCCCTGTCCTCCTGGACAGCAGAAGAGGTCCTGATCCTCCTGTGACCAGCATGCTCAATGGCAATGGCTCTAAGGGGGTTGCAGATGGGAGGGACCATCCCGACGTGGGCACTCAGGTGGGTGAGCTGGCAGCCCCAGGCACCGCCTGAGCCTGGAGGAAGACTTTCTGTCCCACCACGGAGTGTAAGCTCAGAGATCATGCCCCAGATTTACTAAAGATGGTCCCAATTTAAGGTCTTAGACCACCTTTGGGTTTGGCAGGGGCCTTTGTGGACCTGTAGGGAAGATGTCTGGGGCTGCTTCCATGTCTTTGGTTCATTTGAGTCTCTCCAGGGTTGGGGTGCTGACAGAGAGAGCTCAGGCCTGCCCTGACTCCCCACTCCCCCACCCTTGCTCAAGAGGTTTCTTCCAGGGGCCCCAACAGGTGACTGGCTCTGGAAGCCATGTATTTCTCAAGCCCCCCCTGCCCCCTGGTCTCCCCCTCCCCCATGCTTCCTCATTTCCCCACCTGGGGCTCGGCTTACTCAGGCTGACTTTTGATGATCTTCTCTGGCAGCCCCCAGGCCTGTCCCAGCAGCTGCTGTGAAGAATGTGAGTAAAACTGGAGTCGTGGGGGGAAGTCCAGAAGACGACGTCCTTGAAGTGCCTCCTGCCACTCTGGCCTCCAGAAGGCCTCACTTCCCCATCACAGAGCTCCTGTGGGGCTTTGGGGACAATTTTTAGGTCTTTAGCAAAAAGCCTCTGAGGGACTGGCTTTTCCTTGGGGTTGTCCTGGTGTTGTAGCACTGCGGGGGTGGGGCTGGTACCTCCAGGGGCTCAGTGTGGCTGAAACTCCCAGGAACGGCTTAGCTGCCCAAGTATAAACCTCTATGCTGCCCCAGCCAGGCCCGTGCCACTGTGAGGAGAGACATCAGGACATCATTCATGCCTTTGGGACAAACCTAGGGAGGGGTGTTAGAACCAGTGAGGTGCTGCCCTGGCCGGTTTGGCTCAGCAATGGAGTGTCAGCCAGAGGACCAAAGAGTCTCGGGTTCGATTCCGGTCAAGGGCTTGCACCTCCATTGCGGTTCGTCCCCGGCCCTGGTCTGTGTCATGCGGGAGGCAACCAGTCGATGTGTTCCTCTCACGTCGATTTTTTTTTTCTCTCTCTCTCTCCCACTCTCTCTGAAGATAAAAATGAAAAAAAGTATCCTCGGGTTAGGGTTAAAAAAAAACAAACCAATGAGTTACTGTTAGTACAATCAGTACTACCTTAGCTGGCCAAAGGGATTCTTTGCATTCTGTCTTTGTGTAAAAGTAGGAGTTCGTTGGGTAAAGAAAGAGCCAAGGGAAACTGCATGGCCAGAGGCACAGAGGTAGGGAGCAAAATGGCCTATTGGGGAACTTCAAGTGTTCTTTTTTGTTATTGTTAATCCTCACCTGAGGATATTTTTTCCATTGATTTTTAGAGAGAGTAGAAGGGAGGAAATGGGGGGGGGGAGAGAGAGAAAGAGAGAAACATTGATGTGGGAGAGACATATCGATTGGTTGTCTCCCGTCCATGCCATGAGGGGGCGGGGGGGGTGGGTTGGAAATTGAACCTGCAACCCAGGTACATGCCTTTGGGAATCAAACCTGAGACCTTTTGGTGCAAAGGCTGAGGCTGTAACTGCTGAAAGCCGCGTGGGCCAAGGCAAGTGTTTCCACATGAATGACCAGAGAGGAGTGGGTGTAGGGATGGGAGGGTGGGGAGTGGGCAAAGCAGCTCAGAAAGCACCTCAGGCAAGGAGGAGGAGCATTGGGGTGAAGAGCTGGGAGGCCTCCCACATGAAGCCGGCATGGACAGTCCCACCCTGTGGCTGATGGCAGCTGACCCAGTTCTACCTCTATAAAAGCCATCGGGCAGTGGCCCACATAAGCCATATCTGCGCAGTGGTGTAGCCTGGGCTGGCTCCTCAGGACTGCTCTCGGTCCCTCCATGGGCTCAGGCCCTATTTCTGAAGGAAAGAGGTTGGTGCAGAGAGGAGGGCATGACTTTGGAGTCACCTCGCCCTGGGTCCAGATCCTGACTCTGCTGGGGTGCATGCCAGGCGGGCAAGGCTGTGGGAAAGAGGCACATCACACCTTGCTGTCTGGAGTCTGTCCTACAGCAACACCTGTGTGCACATGGAGTGGGCAAAGTAGGTTTACAGTTGTTTGTATGGGAAAAGACATGCAGGCTATGATTATTACAATAGCTTTATAACTCAAAAGCATGTCTCTCACAACTGTAAACTTATTTTGCCCACCCTTGATCATTCACAAGATTGGAAACACCCTCTCTACCATCCACATGGAACTGGTTTAGATGATGGTATGTGCCCATGATGGAACAATGCACAGCAGTAAAAAATATGTGGAAGCTTTCTATGTATGAATGTCAAAAAAGCTCTGGGGTTTTTGTCAAGTCAGAAAGCAAGTACAAGTTCGTGAAGAGCAGAGAGCAGCTCATGCGCAGGCCGGGTTGGAAGCAGCGCCATGTGCCAGGAGACTGGTGAGTTCATTGACCGGAAAGAAGGATGGGTGCCAGGCAGTGAGATGGAGGTCAGCTGTGCAGGGGCCCTGGGCTCAGAGAAGAAGCTGACAACGACCAGGACCCAAGCAACAGTGTTCAGCAGGTGCTGATCTGCTTCACCTACTCACAAGACCTGGCAAGTGTAAAGCAATAACCACATGCACACAGTACTTTATGTGCATCATTTCACTAAACTTCTCAACAGCTCCAAGCCCCACAAGGGAGGTGCTTTAATTACTCCGAGTTTACAAATGAGGGAATGGAGCACATAGTGGTTAGAGAACCAGCACAAAGTCACACAGCTGGCAATGGCAGAGCCAGAGGAAGTACCCAGCTAGTCTGGCTTCTGAGCCCACACCTCAATCATCTTGCTATCCTGCCTCTCAGAGTGGTGGCTGGAGCGGGTATCTGGGTGGGCTGACTGGAGGCGAAGGAGCAACCCAGACAAGAAGCAATGAGGGCCCCTGGGAAAGCAGTGGCTTTCTGGATGAAGACTCAGGTATAGATTTGAGAGCTTTTAAGGAGGTGGAAACAAGCCCCTGTGGTGAGTGCAGTGTGGCTGCAGTGGAAGGAAAGCAGCCCAAGATTCATTCATTCATTCATTCATTCATTCATTCATTCATTCACATAACAAAAATCACTGAGTGCCTACTGGGTGCCGGCCACCATTCCAGAAATTGGGATTGCCTCAGTCACCAAGACAAATATCTCTGCCCTTCAGGGGCTTTTATTCTAGCTGGTGGAGACACAATAGATACGTAAATATGTAAATTACACAGCGTGTTAGAACTATGGAAAAAGAAAATAAAGGTAAGGGTCATTTTCCTGGTCTGGCCTAGGGTGGTCCTGGTCTAGGAGCTTCTGAAGTTTTCAGTGGGGTGGTCAGGGTAAGCTTCACCAAAAAGGTGATTTTGAATGAAGAGGGGAGGGATGAGTCTTGCAGGCACTTGGGAAAGGGCACTGGGTCTGGGGCGCAGGAGCTGAAAAATCGGAGATGTTTGTTAGACATTATGTGGAGTGAAGAGTGGGCAATGGGGGAGAGGTCTGGATGGGGTTGGGGGTGCGAGTTTGGGTGTCAACAGCATAGAAGGCATTTGGGGCCTTGAGATTGGGTGAGATCAGTAGGGAGGGAGTGAAAGTGGTGCTTAGTTTCAGCATTTGAGCCAACTAAGAGGGAGAGAGAAGGGAGGGCAGGTTTCAGAGAGATGACAAGCTGAGTGCCTAAGGGCCATCCTGAAGTGGTGTCCAGCAGACACTCAGAGGATCTGTTCTAGAGCTCAAGAGAAGAGCCACGGGAGGGCTGGTGGCTTGAGGATGCAGAAGGAGGGAAAGCTGGAGGTGGGAGTGGTCTGTCTCCTTGGGAGAGGGGGGCCAGAGGAAGAGGCCCAAGGCAGAGTTCTGGGTTGGGGCTCCCTAGAAGGTGGCACAGGGAGGAGGGAACCCAACGAGGGCAGGGAGTTGGGTGGAGATCTGGGTGCACACCTGGAGAAGCACATGTTTCAAGAAGAGAGAGTGAGTGGTCAGCAGTATGAAACCATGCGGAGGAGTCGAGTCAGATGTGGGCAGAGAGTGCAGGGAGAAATAGGTTGCCAGCGGGCTTGGTGGAGTGTGAGGGCAGGAGTTACAACTCGGAGGTTAAGGGGAAGTAGGTGGTGACAGAGGCAGTGAGTGGGGACTGCTTTCAAGAGCTGCTGGGCAGAGGCTGGAGGCGGGGTGAGGGGCTCTGAGGGGTTCCTGTAGGCTGCGAAGACATGAGCAGCAGGTTTGATGCTAAAAGGTAGCAACAGAAGGAAGAGGAGGTTGGGACACATGAGACAGAGTGAATGTCAAGTTGTCTGGGGCCTTTCAAGGCTGAGGTGACTTCCTCCTGCTCCGCTCCGGTCCTGAGTCCCGAGGAGACACTAGGGGAGGAGAATGTGATCAGAGCGAAAGGAAGGAACAAAGGTAGAAGTGGAGGAAAGTGTCCACATCCGTTACAGATGACATGATGGTTGTTTGCACTGTGGTAAGAAGACCATAAAGGAAACCCATTTAAGTAGGAGAGTCTTTTGAAATACTTTTCCAAATGTGAGGGTGTAAACCCCTTTCCCAGCCTGGCCCTGCCTTCAGGCCTAAACCTGGCTGCCCTCGGAGGGCCCTCGAACAGAAGGGTTTCCAAGCGGGGCAACCCTGCAGACGCAGAGGCAGGAGGAGGGCAGTCTGGCCAGAGGGCAGTCGGGGTAAAGACAGGGAGGCAGGGAAGCCTTATGGTATCTGGGAGAGAGGCTGAGGCTTGACTGTGGAGACCAGTCAGCCAAGTAGGGACAGGCGGGTGCTGCCCGGAGCCTTTGTTGCGTGTGATCTACCGAGATGCCTCAGGGTGCTCGGCACCCTCTCCAGGTCCGGGGCCAAAGGTGCCAGCAGAGAATGGACGTCTGGATTTGCTAGCTTGTGTCTGGTCACTGGTTCCTTTCTGAGCCTACCTGGACCTCACCTATTGAATCATCAGAGCTAACACTTGCCTGGGGGTGGATGTTCCCCTCTGGCCTACCATTTCTCAGGAATCCACCTATTTCCTCTTTTCTGAAAATCGGAACTGACTTTAACTTCAGAAAGAGGAACTAACCTTTGTTGACAGCTCTCCCTGCACTCACCTCCCCCACCCCCAACACACATGTGTGTGAACAGGTACCAGGCTCGAGCTGGTTATTACACACCTGGTGTTACCCTCGTCACGCCCCAGGGAGAGGACAGTGTTCAGAGTTGATAGGTGAGGACGCTGAGGTCATGGGAAGTGCAGTTACTCACCCAACGCCGCCTCCAGTGGTGTCTTGTGAGGTCACCGACGCGAGTTGGGTGTGGAAAGGCCTGGCCATGGCGTTATCTGTCCCCTGCACATGGCTGGCCAGAAACCCCATGTGGCTGGGTAAATTCCTACTCTTCCTCCTGTCTTGGGGGCGTTTCATAGCTGCTTGGGGTTCCTGTGTCTCCATGGATGAGAGTTCCTCCATCTCTGCTGAGAGGCGCTCAGGACCTGAGAGGAGCTAGAAGGGAGGACTTGGGCCACAGCCTGTTTCACAGACAACCTTCAGTCCACTGGTGACCAGAGCATGGGGTCCATTCATGGTGGCTAGACCTGGCTCCCCAGCTGTGACCCACAGAGTCCTGCTTTCTGCTTATATCCAGACCCCCGCAAATGCCCCACCCTTCTCTCTGACTGCTCAAGCTGAAAGAGCACAGTCTCTGGGCTCAGAGAAGAAGCTACAAGCCACCTTGGGCAAGTCCTGCAAACCTACAAAGCAGGCCTCCCCAGAGGGTTACTGAGCACAGGGAAGCCTGTTAGAGCCTGGCTCATAGGAGGTGCTGAGTAAGTACTACTGCCTTTCCTCAGGTGCCTGGCCTCCTGGGACCAGCCTTCCTGTCAGCCCCTTGGTGCCAGGGCAGCCAGCTCTGAAAAGAACTGGGGCCTGGAGCTTTGGGAATTAGCTCCTGCTTCAAGTTGCTGATGCTTCAGCCAGGAGTTTTGATTCATATTCCTTCCAGGGCCTCACAGAAGAAGGAGGCACAAGCTTCAGAGCAAGGATGAGGAAGCACTTGTGGTGATATGGGGCCCTGCAATCAGATGTCTCTGATAGGCTCACCCCTAACATTTGTGGGGCTCAGGGAAGAAGTACAAAGGGAGCCCACATAATATACGCGTGAGTATTTAAAGGTTATAAATCAAGCAAGTCAATTGCTAAATACAGTATGTTCTAGTCTTCTACGCTGACAAATATACCTTCATAACAACCTGGAGGCCAGGCTGCATTTACAACTCTCGGCCTCCTGGAAAGCTGTGCTGGACTGTGGCAGTCTGGGGAGGAGCCACCTCAGCCCTCCCCCAGCCCTGGCCTTGGGAAGCACATGTGGCCCCCCAGGCCATTTGTCCATGGTCCATCCACGTACCTGGCAACAGCTGCTCTTGGCCACAGCTTAGCCTGGGATACACACACCAGCCACAGGCCCAGGGGAAAGGCCCAGGCAGACGGACGAACTGGGCTCTGAACCTTGTGGACAGGGAATTCTGGGGTCCTGCATTTGGGTAGGCATGTCCCCTTGGCTTACAGACTTTTGACCCCACTGTGGGAGGGGGCTGAAGCCAGAGAAGGGCAGAGTGGGTTTATCTGGAGTTCGGGGGCCAGGGCAAGGACACTTCTTGCCTGGGTCTAAGTTCCTGCTGCCTGCCGGGCCTGGTTCCAGAGGGAATCACCCACTCTGCTCAACACCCAGCTCTTGAGCCCTACTGGGCCAGGGCCATGCAGCCACATTCCTTGCTGAGCTCACAGTCTAGGGAGCTGCCCCTCCCTCTCCCCTGGACACCTGAGCTTCTCTGCAGCACCAGCCACCCCCTTCCTCACCAGGATGACTCATCTGTATCATGCAGGAAGGGAGAGGGGTGTCCGGCCCCACCTGCCTCCCACCTCCCTGGACTCTGGTGTTACCCTGCCTGGTCTGGTTCCGTGGGCGGCTCTCCCTCGCTTCTGCTGGCAAAGTGGGGCACCAGCTCTACTTAGCCGATGTTTCTTGCTCACTCAGCTGAAAAGTCAGTTTTCTTTTTTTAAAATATGTTTTTATTGATCTTTTTAAAAATATATATTTTTTCTATTGATTTTAGAGAGAGGGGAAAGGAGTGGGAGAGAGAGATAGAAACATCGACTGGCCGCCTCCTGCATGCCCCCACTGGGGACTTGGCCCACAACCTGGGCATGTGCCCTGACCGATAATTGAACCGATGACCTCTTGGTGAATGGGTTGACACTCAACCACAGAGCCACACCAGCCGGGCTTTATTAATCTGTTTAGAGAGAAAGGAAGGGAGAGAGAGATAGAAACATTGATAAGAGAGAAGCTTCCATTGGCTGCCTCCTGCACGCCCCCTACTGCGGATTGAGCCCACAACCCGGGCATGTGCCCTGACTGGGAATTGAACCGGGACCTCTCAGTCCACGGGACGACGCTCAATTCACTGAGCCACACTGGCTGGGCAAAAATGACACAGCTGTCTAACCCTTAGGCTTTCAACCCTCACTGGGAGCTAGCAGCCTCTTCCTGGATGCTGTGTGACAGTCCCAAGTCAGGGCTCCTGCACCCATCCTGCTACTGGGTGCCTCCCTCATGGGGACACAACATCTTCCACAAAGCTGTGTGTGTCTATAAGCCCTTCCCCACTGTGCTGGTGGCTCTGTCTGGGCTCCCTAGAGGGTGTGGTGGGGAGGATGGGGAGGTGGGGGTAGCGAGAAGGCCCTGCTGTCAGGGTCAAGAGGAAATTCAGAGCTTTTCCATTGGGAAAGGAAGGCCCTGGGCCCTGGGGGTGTGGAGGGGTGACAAGGGTTTCCCAGGAAGGTTGAAGTGTGCCCCGAGCTTTGGCCACGAGGGGCCTGTACCATGATGTGCTCAGGAACATGTTGGACTGAACTCGCAGGAATAGCCTACTTTATGCCTCCTCCCTCAGCCACATAGCAGTGGTGCTGCCTCAGGACCGACCCTGAGGTGCGGCCCTTTCCATCTCTGCTCACTGAGGGCCTCCTCCTTGCTGTGTCAGCAACACTGCAGTCTCCTTCCAGGTGTGGCCTCTGTCCTGCAGCCAATACAGCTCCCATGGGGTGAGGCCTCCCTGTTGGTGGGGACCAGGTTTGGCACCCGGTGAGGGGTGCCCACCTCATCCTGCCAGGTAAAGGAGGAAGAGCACCTGTCACCCTCTGGGCAGCTGGGGGCCACCCTGGGCAGCCTCTCTTCCTCCTTCCTCATCAGATGGCCCTTGTCTTCCTCCTGGCAAGCTGCTTCCCTCTCCAGCTGGCCTGCAGGGACCAGTAGCCCAACCTGTCAGTCAGGGAAGAGACTCTGGGATGGGGGGCAGTGCCCAGGACAGTTAACACACTGGGGGGGCCCATTCAGGCCAAACCTGTGGTGAACCATGTGCCCAGATTCTTCCCCTGTGGGCCAGCCTACCCAGCTGAGATGGGACATGGGCCAGGGCACTCTGATCTGAGAGGGAATCACTAAGCCTCTCCTCTCTTCCACACCTTTGCACCTGCAGTGCCCCCCATCTCAGTGCTGTTCTCATTCCTCTATGCCCTTGAGCCCTCAGCCCCCTTTCTGAGATGCCCTCCCCACTGCAGAGCTCCCCAGCTGGGCTCCAGGTCTTTGTTCTGTGAGTTGACATTCCTGGGAACTGGCCCAGGTCCCCTCCTCAGCAGGTGCTGGGGCAGGGCTCACTCAGCACAGGCTCTCCCTGGAGGTGAGGGCTCGTGGTACTCCAGCATTCAGGCCTGTGTCCCAGTTGTGCACACACCCTGAGCGCCTCGTTTCCCTGACAGACAGCCCAGCTGCATCCTGATGGGAAGTACCTCCCTCCTCTGGGTAGAGCTCAGGAAGCAATCGAGGATCTAACCTTTGGTTTGTGTCCATCCAGTCCTGTCGGTGCCACGGATATCCCAGGAGCTTCTGCAGCACAGTGGGTAGGGGGCAGGAGATGGGGCTGCAGGATTAGAGACTGGACACCACCCAAGCCTCTCCTGGGACGAAGCTGTCCTCTGTTCTAACTGGGGTCCCTAGTTGGGGGGCTGCCCAAGGTACACAGCTAGACTGCCATGCCTCCTTTCTCAGAACTATCCTGGCACATGCTAGAGATGTTTAGGGGAAAAACACCAGCAGAAGCCAGGCCTCAGGGCTGATTGAGGCTCGGGAGCTGCAAGGGGCAGGGAGCGGCTGGAAGCTGACTTTTGGTGGGTAGGTGGGGCAGAGGACCCTCTGAGGAAAGCAGGCTACTTGAGTGAGAGGTTCCAAGCCAGGCCCTGGGGAGGGTAGCCTCTGGGACACTGCATTCCCCTGGAGCATCACTGAGCCCGGCTGGGAGAATGGGCTGGAGGACTAGTCACGTCTCTTTCCGGACCTCACCTTTCAAATGAGATCACCTCCTACCTCACTGCTGGACCACCTGGCTGTTGCAGGATCAAATAAGGTGATGAAGAGACTAAAAAGCATAAAGATGGTATTATTAGCAGGCGTCATATTTGACTTGCTAATTAGCTTCCTAAAAATAGCCAAGTTTATTATAGCACAGGGAGAACCCTAAACTGGAGCCAGCCACCTGGGTTCTTAGGGCGGTACTGTGGCAGCCTTGCTGTGTGAATTTGGTTTGGACCCTGACCCTCCCTGGAAACCAGGTTCCCGATGGAGGCTGGACAGTCTCTGAGGCCTTGGCCCTGAGTCTGAAGCAGTAGCCAGATGTAAACTCGGAGGAGGGCTTCTCCCATCAGAGGTTGGGCTCTGGAGGACTGGCTTCCTGCGAGTCAGAGTCAGGGTCAGAGCAATCGGTGTGGCTGAGGTTATCCCTGGCACCTGTTAGGGAATCTGAAGAGGTCTTGCATCAGGCCTTGATCTTGGAGTCTAGGGACAGGCTGCTCAGATTCCATTACAGAGCCCAACCATTAGCAGACTCCAGGGATGCAGACAAAAAGGCTCACAGACAGGAGTGGGACCTGGTAGGGCAGGGCTAGGGGTGGGAGGAGAGGAGCTGCAGACTCACTGTGGGACATCAGCTGGCTGGGGAATCCATCCACTCAGTGCATGTTTATTGAGCATCTACTATGTGCTAGGCACTGTGCCACATGCTGTGGAGATAATGGAGGGCAAATTAGATCTGGTTCTGATCTAGTGGGGGAGGCAGGCACTCATTACTAAACCTCACAAGGCACATGGTACTCTGACAAGGGCTACATGGAAGCATGTATGGTTTCAGGGGCACATGTAATGGGATATTTGACTTAGCTGAAAGGTCAGGGAAGGTTTCCTGGAGGTGGTGACATGGGTTGAAACCTGAAAGGTGAGTAAGCACTCTCTGAGCAATGCAGGAAGTTGGAGGGGAATTCTGTGTGGAGGGTGCAGAGGAGCAAAGACAGTGGTGAGCAGGTGGTAGAGGGGCTGAGGAAGAGCTGGGGTGCCTGGAATGGAGATGGGGGCCCACGAGGCCTGTTTTTACCTTCAGTGTGATGAGAGCCCCAGACGGGGGAGGAGATTTTGATTTGAAGAAACCTTATGGTGGTTAAACCAGGGTGGTGGTGGCAATGGGACAGGGTGGGTATTCAGACTGTAAGATTGAGAGACTAGGACATGGCCAGACTCAGATGTCAGCATGAGACAACAGGAAGGTGTCATGGTTACTCATAGAAATGCTGACCTGGAAGGGCATGTAGGAG